TATGCGTTCCGACAGTCTCACGAGGTTGGCGATTTGTGGACAAAACCTTAATCTCGGCCGGGACTCGAAACTGTTTTTTGCTTTCCGGGCACCGTGCTCCATCCGTTACACTATGAAACCCCGCCTGCCCCAGCCTCATTGATGGCTTTACGCTGTTACTTTACCGCTACTCAAGACGGAAACTGTTCGCAGTTCTATTTTCAAAGTCATCATAAAAAAGGCTCGCCGTAACTCGATTAAACTGCCAATTAATTGACATTGGAAAACGAAAACGATTGCCACACACCGCCACCACACCTTGGCGTGGCTTGCAACCCTATGGTAAATAGAGTTTTCTGTTCTTTCCGCAAAAAAAAAACTCGAAAGAAGCTCGTAATCATCGTCAAACGAGGTTCGACTATCATTTTCAATGCGGTCTTCCTTTCTTTCCAGAATCTTGTCCTTGATAAGGATCACAATCACGTCAATGCGCACATCCTTGGGGACAGCTCGTTGTCGTCCGAAAAGAAGGGTACGAGAAGCGACTTCATTGTACATTCGTTTATTATGCTTTATAATCTTTCAGTGTCTGCAACTTCGATACATGATGATGAAAACAACATGGAAACACTGGACAGACAATGGGTTATCGATCGCATCGCTCAACTTCGCTCGAAAACGTATTGTAGTGGTAAGGTCTACTCCTTGCTAAATATGATATTTCACATGTCTTGCTCCTTAATGGGTCGTGAAAGCGCAGTGGCTAAAGATTGCATCCCGTTCATGCTGAAGGATGAATCAAACCTCGCCTGCGATCTTCGACGGACTAGTTGAACCTCTCAACCAAGGAGAATAATGAAAGTAAAAAAACCAGAAGTTTTTAACAGGAGAGCGAAATTTTTGAAGGAAAAATTCCAACATCAATTCCAACGGTTTTCAGAGTTTCCTTTCCATGCATAATAGGTAGTTCAATATATATAGTGATTAAAGTTTCTGTGAGATTGAAAAAAAGCAGTCAGTTTCTGAGTAAGAACACCTAAAACAAAACCTAAAATTTACATGTACAAAGCTCACATAGTTTTGTTTGTTACGAATCTGGACATCTTTATACAAAACTCTCCAAAAAAACTTTTTCACTTCTGTTCCTGCTTAAAATCTCGAAACTATATGCACATTCTTTTCCTGGAGTTCTGTAAATCGGAACTCTATTACTTTATTTTGCTTACTTACCTACCACTCCTTCATAAACAGCCCTGGTCGCAACTCATTGGCTGCTTTCATAGTCCGCCGGCGTGCCGGCGCGCGTGCGGCGGAGGCAGTGCTAGCGGGGAGGAGGGAGGCAGACAGATAGGCAAACAGTCCACG